GACAGTTGTTAATGAAGGTTTGAAGTTTGTTTGAGATGCTCTTTATGACTCGCCAAGTCTCTGATCCGTATAGTAGCACTGACTTCACATTGGAGTTGAAAATCCGGATCTTATTTTTGATGCTGATTGCTGTTGACCTCCACACAGATTTGAGAGTAATGAAAGCTTGTCTTGCTTTTCCGATTCTGGCTTTGATGTCCTCGTCAGTTCCGCCTGTAGTTGAGACGATGCTTCCCAGGTAGGTGAAGGAGGTTGTTTCTTTCAGGTTCTTCCCATTTATGCTTATTGTGGTCTGTTGTTGTTGCTGTTGATGTTGGCTAGGAATCTTCATCATCTCTGTTTTATCTATGTTCACGTGAAGTCCTATCTTTGATGCTTCTTCTGCCAACTTGTTACTTTTCACTTGCATATCTTCCAGTTTATGGGAAATCAGACATATATCATCGGCGAAATCCAGATCCTCCAAGTCTTTTGTGTCAGTCCATTTTATGCCTGTTCCCTCGTTGGTTGCCGTTGTCTGTCGCATTATCCAATCAATTGCAATCAGGAAGATCATTGGTGATAGTAGACAGCCTTGCCTCACTCCCGTCCTCACTTCGAAGGCTTCCGTAAGTTTCCCGTTGTGGATTACTTGGCATGCAGCATTGTCGTATAACTGTTGGATGAGGTGTATAATTGTCGATGGGACCCCGTAGTAGCGAAGTAGTTTCCAAATGACCTCTCGATCGACGCTGTCGAAGGCCTTTTCAAAGTCGATGAAGTTGAGATAGAGAGGTGACTGCCATTCCAAGCTTTGTTCAATGATGATCCGTAGAGTGGCGATTTGATCAATACATGATTTGTTTCTCCTGAATCCAGCCTGTTCCGGACGAAGTTTTTCATCTAGGGCTTGTTTGATTCTCTCCAGGATGATGCGACTTAGTATCTTGCTTGGAATGGACAGAAGCATAATTCCACGCCAGTTTTTACATTGACTTAAGTCTCCTTTCTTTGGAAGTTTGAATAAGTAACTGTTCTTCCAATCCTCGGGTACTTTGCCCTCTTTCCACACCTTCTCCAGTAGTGGTGTCATCAAGTCCGCTGTTGTCTCTGGGTCTATTTTCAAAGCCTCTGCTGGGATTCCATCTGGTCCCGGTGTTTTCCCAGTTTTAAGCATCTTGATTGCATTCAGGACTTCTGATTTCGTCGGGGGGTCAGTGTTCACTGGTAGTTCTGCTTCCGTTGTTGGTATTGCTGGACGTGTTGTAGGTGGCGGACGATTTAGAAGTCTTTTGAAGTGTTCAACCCAGTGCTTTCTCTGTTCCACCTCTTTGGTGATTGACTTTCCATTGTCGTCCTTTATTGGCTTAATCTGTGTCGAACGTTTGCCCGAAAGGTTCCTAGTTGTTTGGTAGAGTGTGGCGAGGTCTCCTTTGCCTGCAGCTTGTTCTGCTTCGTTTGCCATGGTTTCATAATATTTTCTTTTGTCTTCCCTGGCACTTTTCTTCACTCTTTTGTTCAGTGTATTGTAGCTTGCATTCAGCTCCTGTTTTTGTTGCTCGTCCGTGCACTGGATAATCTTTTGCTTCACTGTCCTTCTCTCTTCTATTAGTTTCCAAGTGTCCGTAGTGAGCCACTGTTTGTCCTGTCTCTTTTTTCTGCCTAGAATTTCTATGCAGGTTTGGCTCCACACCGTTTTCAAGTTGTTCCAGTGCTTTTCAACGCCGACCTCTTCGCTAGTGTTGATTTGTGTCTCGGCTTTGTCCTTTATGCTTGCAATGAAGATGTCCTTTGTAGCCTGGTCCTTCAGCTTTTGAGTGTTGAACTTGGCTTGTGGTCTATCTGCAGCTCCTGATTCCCTGAAAGCTTTTAATTTGATTTGGATTGTCCCTTGTACGAGATAGTGGTCTGAGCCAACGTCTGCTCCTCTTCTTGCTTTTGTGTCCAGTAGGCTGCGCCTCCACTTCCTTGAGATTGAGATGAAGTCGATTTGGTTTTTGGTTTGCCCGTCTGGTGACACCCATGTAGCCTTGTGGATATCTTTGTGCTTGTATACACTGCCACCAATCACCAGTTCGTTGAAGGCGCAGAAGTCGGCGAAGAGTTCTCCGTTTTCATTCATTTCTCCTAGAGCTTCTCTACCCATGATGAGTTCCCTTCCCGTATTGTCTGGTCCCAGTTTGGCGTTCATGTCTCCCATTAGTATTTTCATGTCGCCAGCTGGAGTATTGTCCATTGTTGCCTGTAGTTGCCTGTAGAATTCTTCTTTCTTCTCGAGGTCTGCGTTGTTTGTGGGTGCATAACATTGTATGATTGACACTTTCCTTCCTTTGGAGTTGAACCTGGCGGTCATTATCCTGGACGAAATCGCCTCCCATTGTATCAGGGCTTTCGTTGCCGTTGGTGACATCATGATAGCCACGCCCTCGGTGTGCGTGTGGTTATCTTCTGGGTGACCGGAGTAGATCACTGACTCACCTGTTGACAATTTGGTGAGTCCACTCCCATTCCATCTGCTCTCACATATTCCCAGCACTTGTATTCCGTATCTTTTCATCTCGTTGGCGATCTGGGCAGCTTTCCCAGTCTCGTACATAGTTCGGACGTTCCATGTTCCTACACAGACTTTTTCTTTTGGTGCAAGGAGGTTCAACATACTGAAGTTTCTGTAGCAATTTTTGTTTACAGGGTGGGGTTGCTAGCCTCACGCCTGAGAAAAGAATGATTACATTAAGTAAAAGTTTAGAGAGAAGCAACTTTTTGGGTTGCTCCCCTCAAAATCAGAAAATAACGGACAAACAATGAGAACAACATCAACAAAGGAAACAGTTCACAGAAAAAAGGGCAAAAAGCGACGACAACTATACAATAAGACAACATGCAATATAGTTCAGTACATTTAACTAAAATGATATCTTAACCATAAACTCACTGACTTGGAGCAACTTGAACATATAAATCCAACAATATATACAATTATAGATGTGTTTATGTTTAAAAATTCCACAAATCCAAACAGTGAGTTATGTGTATTATCTGTCAATAAGATTGTATTTTTTGGATTCAGTGTTCGAAAGGTTAATAATTGTGATAATTTCCGCAAACACTTTGCATAAAATTTTAGAGTAATAAGAGATTTTATTTATGACCAAAATGTAGCGTAATAGTCGAAAAAAAAAAATACGAACTACCGAATATTAAATAGAGGTACCCAATGTTTGAAAGCGAATGCTAAAGTGTTATCAAACTTTCTATACAACCGTCATCTATAGGACACACAGTACTACTACCTTACCAGTGGCAAATTTGTCAAATTTCTTGTTAAACAGGACTTAACATAATTTATTCAGTGTAAAGTTAGAACCATTAAAAGACAAACAACTTTCAACAGAATGATAATCCGAAAATGAGGTAACCTTAATAGGACTACTCCTAACGCAGCTACATCTGAATGGTGACATACCACTTCCATAACAAGTCACCGTGATATTGTAAAAAATTTAATAATTCTTATTGTCATCAAAATGAAGTGATGTATCTATCTTCATTGTGTTTGATCACTTCATTGGTGGCGACATGTCATGGTGATTCCCAATTCAAAACAATCTATTCCTCATTAGATCCTGTTGTTGGATAATTAACCAACTGATATCAAAATTACACTGTATTCCAGTTGTAAAGAATGTGGATTCGAGTGTCATGGTAAATGAAAGTGAATGTACCTTCTTCTAAAAAGTCATTGTTTTACAGATTTCTTGTTTGTGCAATAACTTGTGGCTAAAGACTGAAAATCAACTTATCGTGAATTCCGTAATTAATTTTCAACCCTCTTTCAAAAATTGGATGCCTTGTTACTAAAATCTGTTGTGGTGAGAGCTGGCTGCTAGCCAAAAGTGATAGACAGTCATTTACGTCAATGTTTACGTCCCCAATATTGGTCATGAGAAAAATAAGAACAAAGACTGACTCAACAACCAATCACAGCAGACTTTCCGTAGGCGGACACAATTTGCAGACAGATAATCTGAACTTCAATAAACGGCCACAAAGAGATGAAAGATTAGCATTTCAGCGAGAAACGACCAATCAGAAGACTGCGTTTGTTTGCTTACAGCAATCTACAATAATGTACATGAAAATCTCTAAATATCTGTTGATTTCCTAAAAAAGCGATCTGTTGACTGGCCCTTGTCTTCTGTTGTTACACTATTAGTTCATTATTTGGATGACTTTTAACCTCTTAATTTCACTTCTCCTTCTTATACATGAAATCGATTAGTCAAAATAACCACTTGATTGGTAAACTTTTGATGTGAAAAACCATACATTAGTGTAGTGCCGATTATTAGGAACTAACTGGAAAGGAATATATTTCTTCACTCACTCTGTTGTGTTTTCTGAATGATATTAGTTTTAGTATAAATAATCTTCTATATAGTTCAAACCTCAATCATATACCTTATGTTCATACAATTCTTCTAGAACAAGTGTATTTAGGTATGATGGAGAAGATTTGTGGCTCAGGTGTTCTCTGAGGTGGATGGTTTATTGGCGAGGCTTTCACTGACCCTCCAGGCAACATCTTCACCTCATACTTCAATTTGAAGTCAGCCTTTAGCTTTCTCCACGAGTTTATCACCAATCGGTAAGAAAGAAATCTCACACACGAAAGGTCAAACTTCAGGTTAAGGAAACAATCAGTACTAATGCAAGTAGACTAGAGGATGTGAAAACGCACAAAAACAACCAAACCCGTTCCAGGTCACTAGAAGCGATGACTAATAAACTCATGGAGAAATCTTAAAGCTCACTTCAAATTGAAGTATGAACTGGAGATATTGCCTATTAGGACAGTGAAAGCCTCGCAAATGAACCGTCCAGCTCAAAGAACACAACTACATCAAAATAGATGTATTTCCACGTGAGTATTTAGACATGACAAACTTTTCTGTAGTAATGTGGTTTAATGGGTTGCCTTTAAACCAATCAAATTTGTAAATAATTGTGTTTTACTTCAACAGGATACTTTCATTAGAGGGTGAAAATGAACGTCTGAAATCTCAGATATATTCTCCTCATCAAAACGAATATGATATCAATCAAAATAATTATAGGTCGTTGAAAAATCTTCCAACCACTTCGAAAACGTAAGTTTTGCAAATATCCATTTGAAAAGTTTTACTGAAATTTCGAATGTGATTAAAGTAATTTACATCAAATGTTTAGGTAATAACCTAAGAAACATACTACTGTGAGATCTTCAAAGAAGTCACATCAAGTGATGCTGATGTGCCTCTTTGAGTTAATTAAAGTAGATGTTCGTTTGAGTAATGTAGAGAACTACATATTGACTGGACAAGATAATTAAAGTATTGCGATTAGGTTGTTTAGTGAAATGAATCAAAATCAAATTTGATGGCAGAGATTTATTTATTAATAAAAAAATTCAAATATGCTCACTGTCATTCGATTATCTCTTCTCCTTAGGATTTCTGCTTACTTCGATTAGCAATCATAAAGTACAACAAAGTGAATCAATCTTCATCTGTTTGAAAGAGAGTAACTGTTGTTTTAACAGATACACGATTAGTGTTAATGTTACTATCCAAAAGGATGTCCTATTAAACTTTATTTTTTTTTGCCTGCGACTTGCACATTGTTGTGTGTAGTTAAATTACTCCGAGTTGACCAATGACCTGTTGCAGCTCCAGTTAATTTCCAATCTTGATGAACAGTATCACTTCCTACTTATTTAATTTAATAATTTTCAGTCGACCTTACTAAGTGATCGGGACTCCCGATTGTTAAGTGGAAGAAATATCCCAGTAAAAATTTACTTAAACGCACAAAGTTACATTGAAAAAGAAATAGACAGAAATATAACAAAAATAGCATTCAGTGAGAGAAAACTGAACAGAAAAACCAACTAAAAATCAGTAATACTGGGGATTTTCTGGTGATAAAGTGACAAGTGCGTTGGTGGCACAGTGGTTAGGACTCTCGCCGACTATGCACATGGTCCGGCATTCGAGCCCACGCCGACGCACACCTGATATCTATGGTCGGCCTGCAAAATTTGGGCTACCGATACCCATGCTGAAAATTCCATACTTGTACGGAAAATACAGTGTGGAATCAAGCTGCAAATCAAAAATCAAATCAAAATCAATAAATCAGCTACACTAGTTCATAATGTCTCATACCGTTGCAGGCTGTAACTACTGACTTATAATATCTTCAAGCTTGTAGTCAAACGACTTATACCACCTGAGATGGACAGAACAAAATGTTACTTACTTCAAGGGACGTTCACAATTTCACAGGAGTATATGAGAAAACGTATGGTAGATGTATTTAATATACCACTCGCAAAGAATCTACCTCATGGATGGATGAAATTTATCAGTAAATTCAAAGCTTATATTCACAGGCAGACGAATGGAGTTTTTCACAGAGATCACATATTTTATAAAAATCCCTGAAAGCTTTCGAGTTGAGTACTTTTTCCATCATGTGAAAATAATTGCAGTGACTAGTTAAACATCATGTTATCTAGCTTTTAAGGTTAAATGAAAAGGTATACTCTAATTTACAAGGAAGCTAGTCGTTTATCAGGCAGTCATAATGATGACACCTCTTTATGTACCACTGCGTAAAGAAAGCATATATCTGTGAAATAATTTAAGGTTTTCAGGGAAGATAAAATCGCCTACAGGAAATTTTCAAGAAACAATATATTGAAACAAGAGTTTCCAGCTAACTCTGGGTAACTACGCGCCGAATATAAGAAAAGATATAATAATGTATTGTGGTGAGAGCTGGTTGCTAGCCAAAAGTGATAGACAGTCATTTACGTCAATGTTTACATCCCCAATATTGGTCATGAGAAAAATAAGAACAAAGACTGACTCAACAACCAATCACAGCAGACTTTCCGTAGGCGGACACAATTTGCAGATAGATAATCTGAACTTCAATAAACGGCCACAAAGAGATGAAAGACTAGCATTTCAGCGAGAAACCACCAATCAGAAGACTGCGTTTGTTTGCTTACAGCAATCTACAATAATGCACATGAAAATCTGTAAATATCTGTTGGTTTCCTAAAAAAAGCGATCTGTTGACTGGCCCTTGTCTTCTGTTGTTACAGTACGACTTACGTCCTAGCAGAGTTTGAATCGTTTCTTCTTGTTTCTATAAGTTATTGTGAATTTCAGATTTGAGTTTACCAACAGTTTTATACTCCCTTTATTTATCCTTAATTCTATAATTTTATGGGACATGAATACCTGATATCGTCATTTTCCTCAAATTTTTTCTGCTTCTTGACTTATTGCTCTTACGACCATTTTGTAATAAAAACCTGATCACTTTAAGACAGCAAGAGATACATTACTTTCGCTTCCATGACTACAGCATTTAAACGTCAATGTGAGGTATATGAATCAAGTTTTGAACGTGGACCATTTTTAGTTCAGTACCTTATAAACTTATCCAACAGTTATACGACAATGCTGCATGCCAGTAATCCACAACGGGAAACTTACGGAAGCCTTCGAAGTGAGGACGGAAGTGAGGCAAGGCTGTCTACTATCACCAATGATCTTCCTGATTGCAATTGATTGGATAACGCGACAGACAACGGCAACCAACGAGGAACAGGCATAAAATGGACTCACACAAATGCCTTGGAGGATCTGGATTTCGCCGATGATATATGTCTGATTTCCCACAAACTGGAAGATATGCAAGTGAAAAGAAACAAGCTGGCACAAGAAGCATCCAGAGAAGATAGGACTTCAAGTGAACATAGATAAAACAGAGGTGATGAAGATACCTGGCCGACACCAGCAGCCACAGCAACAACAACAGACAACAATCAGCCAGCATAAATGGGAGGAACCTGAAAGAAAAAACTCCTTCACCTACCCACCTACCTGGGAAGCATCGTTTCAACTACAGGCCGGCGGAACTGACGAGGATATCAAAGCCAGAATCGGAAAAGCAAGACAGGCTTTCATTACCCTTGAGTATGTGTGGAGATCAACATCACTCAGCATCAAAAATAAGATCCGGATTTTCAACTCCAACTTTACGGATCAGATACTTGGCCATCGCGTCATGAAGAGCATCTCAAACAAACTACAGACCTTCATTAACAGTTGTCTTCGCTCAATACCACTCAAGATCAGATGGCCAGCCAGAAAAGATCAGCAACAGGGATCTCTGGAAATGAGCGAACCAACGTAGCAGGAACCGACTGTGCAACAAATAGGCACGAAGAAATGGAGATGGATTGGCTGGTCATAGTCTGAGAAAACCATCAAGTGAAATCACTAGACAAGCCATTGCTCGAGTGGAACCCGGAAGGGAAGCGGCGAGTTGGTCGTCAGTGTGAGGGTGACTTGGAGGAAGTCATGTGAAGAGGAGATGAAAGCATGTAGGCAGACCTGAAGCGGAGTGAAAAAGTTGGCAGAAAACAGAAGGCAATGGAGACGCGCGGCTGAAGCCCTATGTTCCTCTAGGAATTAAAGGATATAATAATAATATAATAATACCTTATAAACTGAATAAATGATCTATAACATGCCTGACTGTTATGCAAGGCATAAAAACTAAAAATTATGAAGGATAATAATTGGATATACACATCATTGGTAACCTTTAGGTAAATAAGGGGTTTGTGAATAATGAAATGAAACATTTTAATCAATTTGTTGTCTTCTTTCCGCCTAAAAGTAAATAGTATCAAGGTTTTCTTATTTGTGTCACTTATTTTCATGTTAATTGAGAATTATGATAGAACTGGGAAAAGGAAGCTGGTCACATTATGCAATGAATGATATTAGTCCAAAGTCTAAAATTTCTTTCAATACTGTATAAAGAAGTAAACGCTACTTTAGCAAGTATTGTCACTGATTACTAGAACAAAAGTCCCCTCATTAAATGAAGAAGTATTACCAGACTTACTGCAAACTATCTGGTTTGATAAACATTCCTACTTAGTGACATTTTGACGTATAAACAACTAAGCTTGAGTGATAGAATTCAGTCTGCACCGAACAAAGGACTAGATGCACACTACTAGTTACTTACTACCTAGTGTCCAATCAAAACAACTAAACTTCTATTGAATTATGACAATTCTAAATTATTTGGATTACTATTATGAAGAGACTTTCTATCACTATGTGCATTTCACCTTTTTCATAAATACAAGGTATACTGAACTCGATATTGGACCACTGTCATTATCAGCTCCAGCGGACCTAACACCTTCTATGCTAACTGGTGTAAGTCCATTAAGTCCGAACGATCCAATTCAGCGATACAGGCAACAAATTTTGGTAATGCGCTTCAATGAGTTATTTTCATTGCATCGAATTGAAGCAATGGGTTTATTAAGACGTTACATAGATGACTATGAAGCAAATCAGAAAATCATATTCTATGCTGTCGTGGTTAGTTTTTATTGTCTTTTTTTTGATTATTCTTTCATACATATGAAGTAGTTTAGCATAAAGGAGACTTAATTCTACACAGTACTTTAAACGTTGAAAAGATCAAGACATTTAATTTGATCAAAACGAGAAAATCCCTTTACAGGTCACGGGTGGTTAAAAGATAAGATTCTAGATGTTTAGAAAGGTGGAAAATGCCACAGTTTCCTCAAAAATTAACCAGACATCCGTGAAGTTGTCCATAATTTATAACAACGATTAGATAAAGTTTATTTCTTTGTCAAGCGTTATATTCTGTTTGCTTTTCCTGCCAGAAAACGAACTGAACTGTTATGTCCAGCACTTGGGAAATTTTTTAAAACTATATTAGTGATTTTCTTCCTCCACTTTTTTTCAAACTGCTAAACAGAGCAACTTCCTCAGGTTTGTACTTAATTCGTACTTCTAAGTTGCCATATATTGAAGCAAACAAAAAAAGCAACGGTTGATAAAGCAAACAATGGACTGTCTTCCTCTAAGATTATTTCAGTTTCAGCATTTTGAGCTCACTCAGTGAAAATAATAAATACTTTGCCACGCTTCACGTATCTTGGCTCTACAATTATTACTTGACGATTATTTTAGTAACTGAACAATGGTGATGATAATAATAATAATTAATGATAATTATAGAAGTCAATCTGAACGAAGAAAATTCTTATCAATAATTTCTCTTCAGTTTCTTACGATTATGAAATATAATATTTGTCGTCGTTACAGTGATGATAGCTAGTTATGCGGCGTATACATTTTTTACGTAGAATAACAGATTAGTTATGGAGTGTCAAAATAAATAGTCGCATTTGTGTGACAAACGTGCTAGGCTGAAATCGATTACAAAATATTGTAAAATGGGAGACAATGGTGGTGATTGATCATAATAGATTTGTAGAGTGTGGGGTAGGAAAACTGACAAGTCAGTTCAAGGTTATAAAAAGTGTCAGGTGGGTGAGTGGCTATTACAAGGTAGTATGTATTAAAGAGGAGATAGGAAGACTGCAATGAGAGGTTCATAATGAAATAAGCAATGTGTGAAATGAAACAGGTGGAGGCATATATTGAGAAAAGAGATAATATCACTAATAGTAAGTTTGCATAGTATAGATGGGAATTCGATTGTATTGAGAGAATGTTTGAATGAAGGGTGTAAATTATGATGAATAATAATAATTGTAATAATAAGCAAAGAAAGAAAAAAACAAAAGATTTAAGGGGAAGAAGCACATTTGGTGAGAAGAAGAATCATCAATCCAAGTTTGGCCACGGTAGGAACAGCGTATGGACGTTTTTTTTGGATACACAGTTCAGATTAAATCGATTTATTGCACCAGCTTCAGCTATGTGTAGCCGACCTAAGCGAAGTGTACGCGATAACGACATTGGAATTCAGTAAATAACCTTGAATGCTGTGTTGGCATAGATGCGATGTCCAGTGTCGACCAAGTGTGACAGATCTTTTATGCACTTCTACTTAAAAAATGTATCCGCCGCATAACTGGCTATCATTATTGTAACGACAAAAAATATTATATTTTATAATTGTAGGGATCTGAAGAGAAATGATCGAAAGAATATTCTTCGTTCAGATTGACTTTTAATTCATAATATGGGAATATTTCAAACTATTAAATCTTATAATATAGAACATGATTTAAGCAAATACATATTTTCGGTAAATTCTCATCAGATTTTACATTTACATAATGACGAAATATTAGTCATAGGAATTTGAATCAATGTGGTTAATACACTATAGGGTCAGAGTTCAGGGATGTGAATGAATGAATGAATAACAATCGAGGTGGCACAGTGGTTAGGACTCTCGCCGACCATGCACATGGTTCGGCATTCGAGCCCGCACCGACGCACACCTGATATCTATGATCGGCCTGCAAAATTTGGGCTACCGATATCCATGCTGAAAATTCCATACTTGTACTAAAAATACAGTGTGGAATCAGGCTGTAAATAAAAAAAAAGATAGATTCATTCAGGTTTAATCTAGACAACAGTGAGTGGATAGATAGAATGTGTATACTAGTAGGGTAGAGGAGAAAATAACTACTGTCACATTGTGATTAGATAACATTGTAACAATAAGTTGTTACACAGAGAATAAAATGTACAACTACAGCACATCATGATATTGATAATACAATTAGCATTACAAATTTTAAAAAAATATAATAAGACGTAATTTGTCTGAATCGTGTTATGTATTTGCGCAACACATTTCGAACAATCTGATGACACATGGGCCAAGATGGTGGATATTGCTCACCAGTTTTTAAACAACAACCCAAAGGAGAAAAGTATTTTAAATTCCCAGCATTTCAAAGCCTTGGAAGAGCTACGGGAAAATTCTAATATAATTATTACTAAACCTGATAAAGGTTCTGGAGTCGTCATTATGAATAAAAGTGACTAAAAATCTAAAATTATGTCTATTCTTGATGATAAGAGCAAATTTATCCGTGATCCCTCCTCAGAAGATATTCAGTTGTTGCAGGGCACAGTGACAGCTAATCTACTGAAGCTTCATGGCCTAAATGCTATAAGTAAAGATACATGTGACTCATTAAAACCATCAGATTGTAAATTCCCATATATGTATGGGTTGCCAAAAATACATAAACCCAATAATCCTCTACGTCCTATATTGTCAATGTGCAAATCCCCGACACATAAACTTGCTAAATGGTTAGTAGAAATATTGCATCCAGTCAAAACACAATTCTGTAAGTATGTGTTAAAAGATACATTTGAATTGGTTGATGCTCTTGATGATATTAATATTATGAACAAGAATATGTACTCTTTTGGTGTAAACTCGTTATTTACTAATGTGCCTTTGATCAAAACAGTTGACATTTTGTGTGATTATATTTCCACAAACAATTTTTTCATCCCGTTTCCTATATCTTACTTAAGGGATTTATTACTTCAATGTACTAACAATGTTAGGTTTACATTTGAAGGCGATTGTTTCCGCCAAGTTGATGGTGTTGCTATGGGCAGTCCGTTAGGGACCCTTTTAGCAGATATTTATATGTCGCACATTGAGAATTTATCTGAGAATTTAATCGATAATAAAAAAAAAAAAAAAAAAAAAAAAAAAAAAATCGTAGTCATCAGTGATAAGCCTTGTTCTGTCATCTCAGTTTTAAATCGAATGAATGAAGTCCAGAATAGCATATCACTTACATCTGTAAGAAGAGGAAGATAATTGTTTATCTTTCCTAGACATATTGCTTAGTCGATGACTTGATGGGTCAATAAAAAGATCTATTCATAGAAAACCTACCTGAACAGGACAGTATCTTAATTACCACAGTTTCTGCCCTGTTCGGTACAAAAGAGCCTTAGTAAGGTGCCCCTTCAGTAGAACCCAACGAATATGCACTGAAGACACACTTGATGAAGAAGAAAGAAAGTTGACACAGACTCTGGTTGATAACAATTATCCAGAGAAGTTCATCAGGAGATATAAAGTAGTCAGAACACCAAACCCACTCTCCAACTCGCCCCTAAGAAAGACGTGTACATCAAGCTACCCTATATGGGGCATCAAAGCAGCTTGATAACTAGACAAAGACTGAACGCTGCTGTTAAAAAGACTTTTATGCAGCTAATATCATAATAATAGAGAATGTAAAGCCATTATACCTATCTAAGCCCTTCGAACATGCGAAAAATGACGTCACATCCCACTGCATTTACCAATTTGAATGTACGTGTGGACACACATACATAGGGAGGACTCATCAATCTCTGCAAGTAAGGGCTTCAGAGCATATTCCCAAATGGCTCCAGAAACAAATGGAATCTTCAGAACCTATTAGCGGTGAGAACAGGAGACCTAGCTCTTCTATTGAGAAACATATTATAGAGACAGGACGTAAAATTGATGTTAACAGATCTTTTAAACCTATCTATAAAACGTGTTTGGGGCGTATCCTAAAGTTTGTGGAAGCCCTAGCAACTAGAAAGTTCAAGCCACCTTTATGCGTTCTAAAACAATTCGTCATCACACTAAACCTTCCTTGATAAATTTTGTTTTGATACCATAGCAGATGTACTATTACCTCTGTTATTTGGTTTAGTGGTCTTCATTGTTATTTTGACCTTCAACATAAGTCCTTTTAACTTGACCTAACTTTATTTTTCTCACCTCTTACCTCTTTATCAATTTCATATATATTCCTATGACAAGTCCATGTGTGATCAGATTGTTCGAAATGTGTTGCGCAAATACATTACACGATTCAGACAAACTACGTCTTCTTATTGCTCTATCTAAATTGTTTAAAAAATATAATAAGATAATATTCACAGTTATCCGATGTCACTAGGAAAGATAACTATTTTAAATTGAGAGTGAAAGCTAAGGGGGAGAGGGACTGAACTAACTTCTTCTGAACACAGAGATTGTGTTGAAAAATCATTATTTTAGTGACCACTGCAATCTGTAATTGACTGACTTTATTATTGTTATTGACTGCTTGAATAACAAACCTCACGTGTAATGTAACGCACTTGAAAGGACTCTGCATAGAAAATCAACAGAGATTCAACTTACTGTTTATTTCAATTTAGGTGTAAAAATTGAGAACTAAAGTGACATCTGTTTATCACTAACGTTTAATTGTTGAATGATATACTACCAAAGTACCTCAGTGATCTGTGTCGAGATTAACTGAAATGTTAAAAAATAAGAAAAGGTATACGTGTTCCTTCCGCGTATTGTGATTAATGCTGAAAATTCCATTCTGTATCACAAGTACTGTTTTTGGAGTAAAGTAAATCATTATTATTATTATTTGTGTTTTATTTTGTCTTCTTTCTAACACACTGAATTATGCAATTCAGCAAACACTCAAGTGCCTTTTTGTTTATTCCCATCGAAAAATTTATTACTCCTTCTTTGTTATAGCTCATTGCTGTAATTTGCCATTTACAACCAATAATATCGACCCAGTGTAACTTGTAACTTATACATTCAGAATAGGTTTCTTATATCCTAACAATTTTACCCTTATTGCTGTTGTTATAACTATTGTTGATGTCACCTTTGTTATTATCGATACTGCTTATATTAAAAAAATCAAAATCTTATTTTACGATTGCATTGAAGGCCATACTGGTTGCTTTGGCAACCTAAAGAATATGAATTTAAGAAATTGTAGAAATCATACTATATATATATATTGGATTTGAAAATTAAACACAGAGAGGAAAAGCTGTAGGCTTATCGGAAATCAGTGGGATTAGAAATTGTGGTTCGTTTTTATTCCCTCTGTATTCTTTTTCTTCTTATTATTAATATTATTCCCTTGGGTCCCGAGTGGAACATAGGGCTTCAACAACACATATCCAACTTCTTTTATTCTCTGCTGTCCTCTTCATCTGGCTCTACGACTGTCCACCACCTCTCATCTCCTCCTCACTCGATCACCTCCATGCCACCCTCACACAGACGACCCACTCGTAGATTCCCATCGGAATTTCAATCCAGCTATGGTCTGCATTGAGCGTGATGTCATTCGACAACCTCCTCAACATGTGCTCCATCCATCTTCATTTCCCTATTCACATTAGTTGAGCGATTGCCTCTGGGTTGGCTTGTTAATCGCCAGAGTTTCTTGTTACTAATGCTCTCTAGCCGACCACCTGATCTTCAGTATGAAGCCAGTGGTTGATAAAAGTCTGCAACCTATTGGAAATGCTTTCCGTGACATGCAGTGCAAGTTTCTGACCCACATAGAAGTACTACCTGACGGAGTTCACATTTGTGTTGAAAATTCGAGTCTTGTTCTTTAGGATGACAGAGTGCAGGAGATTTTCAAACTGGTTACTCTGTATTCTTGTAGAAATATATTTAAAGCTATCTGAATATGATACAAATGTCACAACAAGAAAGTTTAAACGAAGTCTGCAGAACTTTACCTGTGATTACGAATAGCGTTTAAAAAACTAAATCTCTAGCCAAAAGCAAACAAATGTATAAAGTGGTTTACTGAATTGGAAAATAGTTAAGTAGACAGTAAAACTAATCGTCATTAGTAGAAAAATCCTGAAAATGTAATCAAGGGCGATTGTGAACTTTTACAGAGTTACTTTTCCAGGTCATATCCAGTGATATAGGTATTCTAACACACTCTGCCAACTCTAAGTGTGTATTCATTATTTTGATGCATTTTAGAATAATTTTGCTTAACAGACAGGCTATTATTGTCACCAGATTTATTTTACTTAGTTCTGAGACAATCTAGTTTACTCTGACTTTGTTGAGACGATTCATTTAGCCCTTCTGTTCATTTTTTTTGTTTTTGTTACCTTCTGTCGAACGCTTGTCGGCTGAGTGGCTGTGAAGATTAGAATCCTCATTATGAGACTTTACAGCATGTAGTTTTCACCGCTAAGGTAATTACTGTATGGAAATAAAAATTTTAACAGATTCTGTTTGTTACATATACTACAAATTTCTGCACAATATTCTAGAAACATCAAATTAATAAGCATTTTTTTTTCAACGATTATTCCTTGTATGTGACATGTACATAGACAACAATTCAGTTTGATGCACTAGGCTAAACTACAGTTAGAATCGGCATAATACACCAACAGAGATTAAAAAAGTTTTTTAAGGTAACTTCCACCAAAATGTAGCCTAATATTTTGTACTCTATTCGTATAAACTCCTGATATCACTAAAGCGTAAGTCAGAAAGCCTGAATATACGGACATTAGCATTTTGTAGTGTGGAGACATAGAGTTCATCGGATTTTTACAATTAAACACGGAATTCTCTTCATTTTTATTATTTTTTTTTATTACAGCTTGATTCCACACCGTATTTTTTGGTACAGGTATGGAATTTTCAGCATGTGATATCGGAAGCCCAATTTCGCAGGCCGACCATAGATATCAGGTGTGCATCGGCAGGGGATCGAACCCTGAACCATGTGCATGGTCGGAGAGAGTCTTAACCACTGTGCCATGGACCCACAGATGAACTGTAATAGGTAAACACAAATATTATCACTATGAACAACCATTTCACTGAGCTTTTCGTTATAACATAATGATAATTACAAATTAGTTGGTTTAAAATCATGTTAATGAATAATAAATAAGATAAGGGGAATGATTAAATAATAATGTCTTCTAATTATACCAGTATTTTAAGCGGAAAATAAAAAATAATTAATAAATTAGCCAAAGATGTTCATATAGAAGTTGCTAGCCTTTGTAGTTGTTAAAGAGGTAGGCATACTGCGATCTGGTGGCACTCGCAATATATCACAAATCTCTCGAAGACATGAAGCATTGATTTCCCATAGACACAATGGTTTTGACTGGCAATGGATTCACATCGAAACCCCGTCATCTGAGAAATGAAGTAGTAGGTACATACTCTTAATGGTTTCCAAAGCAGGCTATACAGATGATCACTAATTCAGGATTCTGATTGATCTCCTAGCAGATGTCCATCTATCGTTAAATCTATCTTGAAATAAATGAACTACTCTGGAATCTATCAAACTTGTAAATTGATATTATTTACAAATAGGATGTAATTTTTATGTTATTTCTGTATTACTTAATTAGCACATCATGAATATTTATGTTTTCTTGACGTCAAGTTATTTCTGAAAGTTTTGGCGAAAAACAATTTAGCCGAGAAGAAAAATGTCATTCCTCATCGGGGCTATATTTTTAAAAAGTTGGAAAAACCCTCAGGAATTTTACTCACAGACGAATAAATACTTAGGCTTAGAAGTTATCGCTGATAGATAATATGTTACATATTCTACCAATCATTTAGGTGTCTCTGCAGGGACAATTGTCATTATGGTATGATAGGTATCGATAACATAATGTTTTAGATGACTTACAAACTTCATTATTCTTGTCCTAAATTCTTTTCACATTCTTTTTTCCCTGTACCGCAGGAATCATTCACTGTGGCTAAATCACATTTTCGAACTTATCGAAATCGTGTACGCAAACAGATTGCAACAAATAATTTAATTACAACAGAAACACTAGATGAAATAGTTCAATCATATATAAATATTCATGCTAGTCATTCAGTAGATATTCCAGTACTTGTGAAAGATGTTTGTCTAGCTATGGAACGTCGTATCCCACGTATACGTCGTCCATCACACAATCTTGGTTTCGATGTTATTAAAGACTTTTTACATGAAACTTGTAAACTTGCTTGGGAATGTTCTGCACTAAGTCATCCACTTGATGTTTGTAGACCGGTTTGTGAAAATGAATTGATTGATGAAGTAAAGTAAGCAAAACAACTTTAAAATCTGTTTTCATTTCAATGCCGTTATCAATTTCGAATATTTAATATAATTCATTATTCACTGGATTACTAATTATTTTATTTTGTGTTAGTGTGACCAGATTAGAATTAACTCTACCACTACATTATACTGTCACTAAATAGTAATCTCTCATGTTCATTTTAAAAAAGGAATCGATATAATATGTAGTTTCATGAGGAATTGACAGCTTTTTCGTGCTTCTCGTATACATGACATATCTGAAGGTCTTTTGACAGACACAATGAAGATTAGTTCAGCTTGTAAAACATCATATCCATATTAGCATACGGCTTGTTTATTAGACCGCTGCTGTGTCTCAGGCCAGCAGTGACTTACAAATACAGTCCACCATACACAAAGCGGTTGTAACAGTTTGAGAAATTAATATTCAGTTACATAGACTTTAACGATTGTACTGAATAAATGTCAGGAAGAGTCGACTAGTAGGTATTCTTGAATCATGGATATAAGTCCTGTTACTGTTATCATTTTTCAGCACGGCTGTCTTTAGTCTTTAAGAGAGATATATTGCCTACAAAATATAGACCTGCATTACTCATTGTCAAAGTTGTCACCATCGCTACAAAAAACTTTTCAGGTCACATCACTAAAAATGTAGGTTATAAAAATTTCAATAAAGTGATTTCGTTATTTTAATGCAAAATCCAAAAATAAAATACCCAAGTTCTTTATTAAATTGGGTAAACGGGACGAAGAGATAAGAATCAAGTTAATCTACGGAAGTAAGTATGAAGACAGATTGTTTGGAATTTACCAAACAACATTATCCGAGTGTGTAACTGCTTATCACACGAATGATTTTCTTCATAGCATTTTACCACATTTTAATTTATGGCTTTAGGATGTCGTTGTTATACACTGAAGATTGGGAAGAGGTAAAAATTTTGTGACTACACATTTTGAAATGTCATTAACTTTTAATGCAATGACAGTGAAAAAACATTGCGACTTTGTATTCAGTGGTGAGTCAGTTGATAAGATTTTGAAAATTCATTTGATGCTGAAACCTGGAAACTTTATAAGCATTATGAATGCAGAGTTATTGTTGGTTAGATTTTGACCACTATTCAGAGTTTAAATGTATCACAGGATTTCTCTTTATGCTATTTTTTAAAATACAAAACCTATAGGTATAGACGTAGCCACGATTCATCATATCCAACATTAGTCATTCATCATCATATATGGCCATGTTTAATGCAAGGTGAACGTGTACTTGTTAAAGGAGAAGTTTGTACTAGAGGAATGCTTAACTCTTACGGCTTCGAAGTTATGGTAAGATCTTTCTTTTCAAGTTTATTACTAAGATACGAATTTTACATTATAATAAGATTTATTTGGAATATGTATACCTAGACTGATATGCATAAGTTTATCTTTGTTGGTGAACACAGTGTACCTTAATAACATTTCAGTGATGGAATAAAGTTTTACATTAGTTGAGTAGAAACACATATATACAGAAGACAATCGAGCATAAATATAAACTGTAAAGGATCCCCGTTTATCAGTGGATTTCTTCTCAGTATGGTGAATAGATACTTGCAGATATTTCACAATGCACAAAGCCTAGATATCATCCGCATTACATTATAGTTGCAGAATATGAAGCGATAATCGCAAATTGCTTTTCTTTTTCAGCAGTTCGATGAAATCCACTGAACGCAGACAAACTATAAAAAGACTAAACGCCAAAGTAGTCCTGAAAATAGATTAAGATGCAGCGTCATTAATTACTCATTGGTGACTAAGGGGTGTTATGACTCTGATCCTTAATGTTGACTAAATTCAACCAGTCGAGTCTACAGTGTAGTCAGCAAGGTGGGTGACTAATATTGTAGTGATATATTAATTGATTCTAAGTGTTTCGAGGGTATCGATAGAAAGCCCTAGACCTAGGTTTCATGAGATTAGGTCAGGTTTCAAACCACTATATCTGAAGGCAATCAAGATTCTAAAAGCTGGAAAAGCAGCAGGACCAGCTGGAATCTCAGCAGAAGCATTGAAAATGGATACAGAGACAACAGCGGAGTTGATGACGCCATTGCTGGAGAAGGTGTGGAAAGAGGGCAAAGTACCCGAGGATTGAAAGAAAGGATACTTATTCAAACTACCAAAGAAAGGAGACTTAGGCCAATGCAAAAAGTGGCGTGGAATTATGCTTCAGTCCAACCCAAGCAAAATACTAAACCACATCATCCTGGAGAGAATGAAAGACGCCGCCATCGATGAAAAACTCCGACCGGAACAAGCTGGATTCAGGAGAAAAAAGTCATGTATTGACAAAAACGCCACTCTACGGATCATCATTGAACAAAGCATGGAATGGCAGTCACCCCTCTATCTCAACTACATCGACTTTGAAAAGGCCTTCGATAGCGTCGATCGAGAGGTGATTTGGCAACTACTTAGCTACTGTGGGGTTCCATTGACAATTATACATCTCATTCAACAGTTATCCGACAGTGCTGCATGCCAAGTAATCCACAACGGGAAACTTACGGAAGCCTTTGAAGTGAGGACGGGAGTGAGGAAAGGCTGTCTGTTATCGCCAATGATCTTCCTGATTGCAGTAGATTGGATAATGCGAAAGACAGCGGTGGGCAATGAGGAAACAGGCATCAAATGGACTCACACAAATGCGGCTTGGAGGATCTGGACTTCGCCGATGATGATATATGTCTGATTTCCCACAAACTGGAAGATATGCAAGTGAAAAGAAACAAGCTGGCACAAGAAGCATCCAGAGAAGATAGGACTTCAAGTGAACATAGATAAAACAGAGGTGATGAAGATTCCTGGCCGACACCAGCACCACAGCCACAGCAACAACAACAGACAACAATCAGCGAGCATAAATGGGAGGAACCTGAAAGAAAAAACCTCCTTCACCTACCCACCTACCTGGGAAGCATCGTTTCAACTACAGGCCGGCGGAACTGACGAGGATATCAAAGCCAGAATCGGAAAAGCAAGACAGGCTTTCATTACCCTTGAGTCTGTGTGGAGATCAACATCACTCAGAATCAAAAATAAGATCCGGATTTTCAACTCCAACTTTACGGATCAGATACTTGGCCATCACGTCATGAAGAGCATCTCAAACAAACTACAGACCTTCATTAACAGTTGTCTTCGCTCAATACCACTCAAGATCAGATGGCCAGCCAGAAAAGATCAGCAACAGGGATCTCTGGAAATGAGCGAACCAACGTAGCAGGAACCGATTGTGAAACAAATAGGCACGAAGAAATGGAGATGGATTGGCTGGTCATAGTCTGAGAAAACCATCAAGTGAAATCACTAGACAAGCCATTGCTCGAGTGGAACCCGGAAGGGAAGCGGCGAGTTGGTCGTCAGTGTGAGGGTGACTTGGAGGAAGTCATGTGAAGAGGAGATGAAAGCATGTAGGCAGACCTGAAGCGGAGTGAAAAAGTTGGCAGAAAACAGAAGGCAATGGAGACGCGCAGCTGAAGCCCTATGTTCCTCTAGGAACTAAAGGATATAATAATAATAAAATAATAATATCTATTTAGAATGCATGAACTGCAGCTACATTATTATTGATGCAGAAATAAAATTATTTTGAAAGAGTTTGCAGGACAACACATCTGTTTACAGGCTTTCACTTTGATGAAGTGATGGAAAATTGATCCCGTATAACAGAGATATCTGGACAGAAATACTGATAATAAATGCTTATACAACAAACTGGATAAGCACAATAAATAATAATCAAACCAAGCTACTGTAGTCCCATTATTTCTCTAACTGGTATGTTATAGTAATGAATGTGAAAATTTAGATAAAAATAAGGCATAAAATCTTTCCAATCTGTGTGTTTACGTGTTACGCCCATGGAACAATCTTATCAATTAAACTTCTGTTGTGAGCTACTTGTATTTTAAACTCCCTTCTTAGTAGTAAGAGCAGTAAGTTCACTGTTGGTTTGTTTAAACTATCCTCTTATGCTACTAAAAGGCGGAAAAAATGAAATGATACCTATTTAAAATACCGTCTTATAATATGCAAAATAGAGTTATAGTCATGAGACAAATAAAATTTGTGAATAAAGTGCACTTCATTAAATCTGGGAAAAACAGAAAAATAAATGATAAATTTTAAAATACTAAACTAAATTTTCTGTTTAAGTATAAATATTTCCTTAAAAAACTATCATTACTTATTCAGCCAAAATCAGTGATTGAATGACTGAGATGCGATGAAAAACTGATTTGCTCTGAGTTACGACAGTCATATGACTGTCTGCTTTTCGTGGTGGAAACTACCTCCAAAATTATTCACATCCTAGATACCACCACAACGAACAGTTCTATACATTGCACCTACTAAAAAATGAATTTACTGTTGCCTTGCGAGTGTTATATATAATCAACCAGCTATACGAATGAGTCAAAAAGCTAATTTTTAAATTGAATTAAGACTTTTGAGTATCTATTGTATTTTTTTAACTATAATTATTCTTGCAGTAATACGACTTTTGTAATATGTAGCAAATGACTTTTATTAACTTCGTGAAGAATTCCTGTCACTGTCAATGTTTTATTTTATTTTTTTTATATTTTTGATTACAGTCTGATTCCACACTGTATTTTTAGTACAAGTATGAAATTTTTAGCATGGATGTCACTAGCCCAAATTTTGCAGGCCGACCATAGATATCGGGTGTGCGTCGGCAGGAGATTGAACCTCGGACCATGTCGATGGTTGGCGAGAGTCCTAACCACTGTGCCACCCACGCGAATAGAAGAGATGCTACATAGAAAGTGGTGCAATGAAACGGATAAGGGGAAAAATATTTTTGCGGCATAACAGGAGCTTCAAAATAATTGTAAAACATTTCATTTCTATTTGTAAATGTCTTCGCAACTGAAATCCTAGTTTTAATCCAGATTTCAGCAAGATTCCCAACTTGAAAGGAGGAATGTAATCTTCATTTTCTGCCCTACTATTGTTGCAATCGCATAATGAAGGTTTCAGACGGGCTTTTTCGTTTCACTTAGATCTATAGAACCGAAATTTTCGTTGTGTATGATGAGATCCCCTTCGTAGAAACGACTAAGCAAGGTGTCTGTTCTACTAGACTTTTTAATTATGTTGAAAGGGTTTTTATTATGTAGCAGAAATTTCAACTCAATTCAGCTGGTTCTGTTCATCCGAAAATAGAACTGACCCTTTCTCATTCAGTGTTTTCATTTAAATCTTCCCTTTTTGTGTTATAATAGAGGCAAATTCATTCTGTGAGCACACTAGGAGTATACCTGAAGATAAGTGGGAGGTTTAATTCAAAAACATCTTCCTGAATGCTTCAAGCGCCTTGAAATTAGTTTTAGACCTTTACAAAATAATTTAGTCTGCAGTAAGACTGTGGATGAAATTAAATCAAATATCATCCAATAATCAACTGAAAATCGTTATAACTAACGTATTTTCACCCTTCTATTTACAAAATCATCGTACCTTTGTGTGATAAAACCTCCGGATACTTCTTATAAGTTAGTCAGATAATAAAATAATTATAAAATCGTCATTAATTTTGAATGTGTTGTATTAAAATTATTCATCACTGATTTGATATCGTACGTCATGAAGCGCCTCATATATATGTATATAAGCCTTCTACTTATTGAGGTTGTGAATCTGAACCTTTTAGCAGATTACATTTGTGTATGAATGCTACCATAAAAATTTCAATCGGATCTTAATTTATAAGATATATGTTATACTAATAGAATTCAGGATCCCTTTGATTCTTGCAAGCTGAATATAGAAAAAAAACCAAAACTTAATAAGGCTGAAGCAGTTGGAGAATAGAATATGGCAGTCACAACACAGTGACCTGTTCATTAGTATCCGGATATGGTAGCGATGTGTGGAATGCGTTCTGTTCACAGCGACTTACACCGTACTAATCAGTCATGAATCTTTTAAAAATTATTTCTAGCTCCACACTATCAAAACATAGGGATTTTATCCTTGACCAAACAATTATTATTATATTATCATTATATCCTTTAATTCCTAGAGGAACATAGGGCTTCAGCTGCGCGTCTCCATTGCCTTCTGTTTTCTGCCAACTTTTTCACTCCGCTTCAGGTCTGCCTACATGCTTTCATCTCCTCTCCACATGACTTCCTCCAAGTCACCCTCACACTGACGACCAACTCGCCGCTTCCCTTCCGGGTTCCACTCGAGCAATGGCTTGTCTAGTGATTTCACTTGATGGTTTCTCAGACTATGACCAGCCAATCCATCTCCATTTCTTCGTGCCTATTTGTTGCACAGTCGGTTCCTGCTACGTTGGTTCGCTCATTTCCAGAGATCCCTGTTGCTGATCTTTTCTGGCTGGCCATCTGATCTTGAGTGGTATTGAGCGAAGACAACTGTTAATGAAGGTCTGTAGTTTGTTTGAGATGCTCTTCATGACGCGATGGCCAAGTATCTGATCCGTAAAGTTGGAGTTGAAAATCCGGATCTTATTTTTGATGCTGAGTGATGTTGATCTCCACACATACTCAAGGGTAATGAAAGCCTGTCTTGCTTTTCCGATTCTGGCTTTGATATCCTCGTCAGTTCCGCCGGCCTGTAGTTGAAACGATGCTTCCCAGGTAGGTGGGTAGGTGAAGGAGGTTTTTTCTTCAGGTTCCTCCCATTTATGCTGGCTGATTGTTGTCTGTTGTTGTTGCTGTGGCTGCTGGTGTCGGCCAAGAATCTTCATCACCTCTGTTTTATCTATGTTCACTTGAAGTCCTATCTTCTCTGGATGCTTCTTGTGCCAGCTTGTTTCTTTTCACTTGCATATCTTCCAGTTTGTGGGAAATCAGACATATATCATCATCGGCGAAGTCCAGATCCTCCAAGCCGCATTTGTGTGAGTCCATTTGATGCCTGTTTCCTCATTGCCCACCGCTGTCTTTCGCATTATCCAATCTACTGCAATCAGGAAGATCATTGGCGATAACAGACAGCCTTTCCTCACTCCCGTCCTCACTTCAAAGGCTTCCGTAAGTTTCCCGTTGTGGATTACTTGGCATGCAGCACTGTCGGATAACTGTTGAATGAGATGTATAATTGTCAATGGAACCCACAGTAGCTAAGTAGTTGCCAAATCACCTCTCGATCGACGCTATCGAGGGCCTTTTCAAAGTCGATGAATTTGAGATAGACCAACCAATTTATTGATAGAATTACTAACCCACTCATCAAACAGAAGCTATCAGACTGGAAATATCCCTATTTAAGGAATAATTTTAATTATCATTTGGGTGGTAATAGTGAAAATATGTGGGTTTGTTTTCATTATTTCATCAACTAAATATAAACTGGTGCCCATACACTAAAGAAATTTAGGAAATCGTTTTTATTTACTTTTATTTTTCAGTCATCCGATAGTCGAAATTTACCAGACCGTTATCGAAGTCGTGTCTGCTCACGTTCTTGTTCACCAACACGTCCAACTACATCACCAGGTAAGGAAGTAAAGAAAAATCACTCTTTGTTCATTTAATCTCCTTGTCTTGAAAGTTAATTTTTCTATCGTGCGAGTTAAATACTCATAATTGGTTTAATGTAGGCCTCTCTTTTAAATCATCATATTACTGTCAAGTTGTGTTTATCATCTCCATTTAAATATAACTCAGGTAACTACAAATTCTATGCAAGTAAAGGTATCATTATTAAGATAAACACTGGTGTGTAAACTACTCAACATCAAGGAAGACGGAGTTGTTGGATGTTTTTTTACAAAATTTATTTTGTTAGGAGCAGGCTTTTATTAGGTTTCTTAATTGGGGACATACAGGTAATTTTTAATTGTATATTGAATCCACCTTTACTGTCAACTTTTTCAGTCTATACACATCAGTGCATGAATAAATCAATTTACTAGTTACTTAGTATGGCTTGTCGTGCAAGCTAAGCCTCAGGTTTCAGGCTAGTAACATGAATACATCTGTATTTTATTAGTTACTGTGTACCTTGTGCAACGTAAACACAAAATTTATCAACTGAAAAAAACTGTACCTATTATTCACTAAACTATTCAGTTATGATAGTTTATATTACCAAAACAGATAAGTCGGTATTTCTGAAACAAAATCTGAAGTGAGTTAGACCTTTGAAATTAGTGGAATATGATGGATGTACCATGGTTGTATGATGGCTTCTATGTAAGATACTGGAAAATAATTCAGTGAAATGGTCTGATTTTAGTCTTCTTCAAGAATGTACGCACCGCAATATAAAAGAGACCAGATACCCTAAAATTTGTGACAAACAGAAACGACATCATTTTATTAAGAATTTTTCATTGAATTATGTTAAAAGTATTAGGAAATAAATGTTAAAGCATTTAACTTTTAGATATGGTATCTTTTTCCTTCAAAAGGTATCCGAATTAGTCCAAAGATAGCCGTTATAATATTCACGAATTCGATTCTAAGTGCGAAACCTAGAAGGCACTATATTTCGATTGTCTTCTTTAGGCTTCAAATATATCGTAGTAATAATAGCTAGAAAAATAATTGGTACATCTTGATTTTTACTATAAGCTTTCATAGCCATTTTAGTCACTTTTGATACTGAAGTCATTAGTGGTTGAATAGTCGAAAGTCATCCATCTGTAGGTTAATTGGTTGTTTGTACTTATCTGATGACAGTGGGCCTAAAAGTAGACAGTCAGTTTAGACCGTCTTAGCGGTAGTTTCAACATAAATTCAGAAAACCGCATAATTTTAAGATTTCTGTCTGTGTCTTTAGTGGCCTAGTTTAAGCTTCCCTTTCCAACTATCAAAGTTGACCACGATGCAATATTAATGACTTTGTAATCTTTGAGTGTTTCCTTCATGGTTTTTACCAAGGAGAAAAACAGATATTCATCAATTGAAGTTTAAATTTCATATTCTGTGCGCCTTTCAGATAAAAACCACACAGTATTCGCATGTAATTAGTGAAGTCAAAGATTTGCATTTTTAAATCTTAGACTGAATGTCAAAAATATTGAATATTAATGAGATAAAAAGAATTAAGTATGTGTGCAGTATCAGTAGTTATTGTTTTTGTTATCGCATATTAACATTGTAGACAGTTATAGAGAAACGTAATTACTCACATAGGTAGTAAGGTGACAACTTGTTATAAAGCCACATACAAATAGACAAATGATAAATAGCCAACTCGAGATTAAATGAATTTACGAAGTAGAAAGCAAACTATCATCTTTTCAGTGTACCTCTTCCATTTTTAAAATTCATTAAATTTGTATGCACTAATCATGTTTTTGGTTTGTAAGGGTTAGTTATGTTTATACGAGTTGATCACGGATGGATATCAGTCGGAGAACCACTGAAAACCAGGGAGTACTGGACAGCTGCTGTTTCGTCCTAGTTTGGGAGTCATCGGCAGTACGTACCCACTGGGATTTGAACCCAGGACCTTCCGGTTACAAGCACGCTCGTATATCATTCAGCCACTGGGACCCGATTCAATGGCCAGTCCATGAATTCTAACTACTTCCAATTCGTGATTTAGTGAGACCCCAACCATTGTCGTTGGTGGGACATCCATCCACACACGTGACATCTAATTGGACCTCACTGGTCACGACTTCTCACTAGAACTCCATCCTGTAGCAAGTCACTAGCGGCATCAGATCAATTTTCTAAAGTTTTTTGATTTTTAAGGATTAGTTATGCTTTGCTATTATACACTGTTGTGAGATTTTAGCTTCCCTATATTAATTCTAACTGTACGCTTATAAAAATAAGTCACCTACGCATATTATACGATCACAGAAGCATACCTATGCTTGTCGAATATTCCCCATTATATTATTGAAGATTGCTTTTCGGTTGCTACATATATAGTTTGTGCGATCACACACTTTTAAGTTCACCTCACGCTCTTCGAAATTTGATTTGTTTACAATGCATCTTTTCAAGTTTTCACTTGTGCTCCTTAATGCAACGTTGTTTGTATCTAGTCGTGTACGGTGTTTAGCACATCATAGAATGTGAAAACGTGTGTATGCTATGGTATTATAATCGGAATCGTCTTTATTGCTCCATAAGATCAGTTTCATAGTACTAATAATTGGTAAATAGATTGCTGTATTCTCTCAAAGTACGCATTATTCATATAATCTTTTAGCCTCTTTCTTTCTTGTTGAAAATCACCATTTCTCATGTTTCAATAAATAGTATACATAGTGATTCCGCTGTTGCTCTTATTGTTCAGGTAATTTGCATTTGTAAGGAATGAATTCTATTGAGTGGAACAATTTAGGCATATTGTTTAATATTCAAGAGTATGTTTCTAGGGATTGGTGTGTTTTCCAAGTTTGATATCATCAAAATGAGGTTTTGCTTGGAATTTTGATGAGTGATTGTAACATCCTTAGTAATCATTAAAAGCTTTAACTTTCTTACTCAAGATGATAAGTACTCATATTTTATTTCTCCAAGATAAAGACTAGTATCTTGAAAATTCGTACTTTAATCAAACCACTCAGGTTTTTTATTGTGATCCACTATGTAAATGCTATATCATTATACTGTGAAAAGTATGTAATAAGCTAACGATATAAGTTTTTCACTGAGTTAACATATTCAAAGGCATTGTGTTGATGAATCAATAGCCTAACTGAAGTCATTACCATTCGGATGCCGATGGTGCCTATTGTTGAAGATTTCCAGCATAGAATGAAACATCTTTCAGTACATCATGGTTTCCTAATGATTCTCTAACTGATTTCAGCTCATGACCACTCTTGTGACCAATCAAATGCTTGCAAACCAACACTTGAAAAATATTTTTCTTGACTGACCTCAAATGGTGATCTTAACTGCTTCTGTCGTTTCAACTTTTTGTCGTAATACGTAGGTTCTCAGACATTTTGGCTAATATATCTCGACTTCATTATCATGATGTAAAACCTCCACTTAGTGATCATCAATGAACTAAAGTGGAATCAGTTCAAGATAGAGTGCAGAAAATAAACTCATTTTTTTTCTCCGTTCATTAACATGTTTCTTATGTTCCCGACTGTCGGATACACTTGATGTTTCACAGCTGAATAGACTATCTAGTTACCCGAACTGTTGCGGAGAAGTATTCCAACTGAAGACCAGCTGGCTGGAATATTATTATTATTCTCTTGGGTTGCGAGCGGAAAATCGGGCTTCAACAACACATCTCCAACTTCTTATATTCTCTGCTGTCCTCTTCATCTGGCTCTACGACTGTCCACCACCTCTCATCTCCTCCTCACTCGATCACCTCCATGCCACCCTCACACAGACGACCCACTCGTAGATTCCCATCGGAATTTCAATCCAGCTATGGTCTGCGTACAGCACGATGTCATTCGACAACCTCCTCAACATGTGCTCCATCCATCTTCATTTCCCTATTCACATTAGTTGAGCGATTGCCTCTGGGTTGGCTTGTTCATCACCAGAGTTTCTTGTTACTAATGCTCTCTAGCCGACCACCTGATCTCAGTATGGAGCCAGTGGTTGATAAAAGTCTGCAACCTATTGGAAATGCTTTCCGTGACACGCAGTGCAAGTTTCTGACCCAATAGAAGTACTACCTGATTGAGTTCACATTTGTGTTGAAAATTCGAGTCTTGTTCTTTAGGATGACAGAGTGCAGGAGATTTTCAAACTGGTTTCAAGTTGATGAAGGCGTATCATGCCTATTGGATTCTGGCTGGGTTTGACATCTTCAGTTGAAGTTGAAAAGTTGGAGTTGAAAAGATGCTTGATAAGTAAATTCGGTCAAATCTCTACCACTGATGGTGATTGGTACTAGTTGTTGATGCTGTTGGTTGATTATCTCCAACACATCCGTCTTCTCTATGTTCACCTGCAGTCTTGTCTTTGCTATCAAGCTCTTTTGCCAGTTTTTTGGTTTTCGTCTGCAATTCTTTGAGTTCATGTGACATTAAACACAAATCATCCACACATGAAACCCAGATATCTTAGAGTTTTCTTATCGGTCCAGCGTATTCCCGTCTCCTCACTCCCATGTACAGCCTGATACATAACCACTGGTGATTTACAGACAGCCAGCCTTATCTGACTCTTGTATGCACTTCGAACGCCTCGTTGAGTTTCGCGTTGTGGATCACCTGACATTGTCACATAGCTAGCTGTTGAATGAGGTTGATAAAGATTTGGGCATTGCACACCACTGTGTTGAAGTAGTTCCCAAATTACTTCTCGGTCAAAGTTGACAAAGGCATTTTCGAAGTCGCTAAAATTGAAGCATAGATTTGACTGCCATTCTATGCTTTGTTCTGTGATGACAATGCGTAGAACTGCAATTTGATCAGCACATGATTTGCCTTTCTTGAATCCAGCTTGTTTTGAATGGGGCGGAGTTTTGCATCCAGTGCATCTTTTATTCTCTAAAGGATGATGAGAATAAGAATTTTACCTGGCATGGACAAGAGCATTATTCTGCGCTA